CTGGACCAGACGATCCAGTGATCAACAGCATGAACATCTACCTACGCAGTTGGGATACGATGACATGTGTCAACCAAGTCAGTGAGCCTGAAAACCCGATCCCATTAGTCACCTCTTACGACAAGGATGGGTTACAGAAGATTACAAACACGTGAACGTACGTATGTTTTGGTTGATTAATTGTTTGTTTTTAACGCTACTCCCAGAAATGTGATCATTGCAAGCTACATGATGGTGGGGGCGGTGGGGTAGCCTAGTGGGTAAAGCGTTCGCTCGTCACGCCGAAGACCCGGGTTCGATTCCCCACACGGGTACAATGTGTGAATCCCATTTCTGGTGTCCTCCGCCGTGATATTGCCGGAATATTGCTAAAAGCGGCGTAAAACCATATTCACTCACTCACTACCTCGAGGTTCAAGTTCCAATTGGGAAGTTAAAGGAGGTAGATTTTAATAAACTTATTTATGAATGCCACTTGTAGCAACAAATATTATTATCATTATTATTATAGGATATTTAAATAGCGCACATATCCACGCAACTAGTACATGCTCAAGGCGCTGGGATTTTTCCCTCGATCATTGGATGTCAATCTGAACGGCACATCGAATTATCAATCTCAACTCCCCGGGGATCATACAACCCTGGCAGCCACAAGGCGCACCGAGTTATTGCAGCTTTCTCATCCTTACGAGGTACCCATTGACAGCTGGGTGGACTGGGACACATAGCCACAGTACTTTGTCCAAGTTTGCTGCACGTTGCTGTACCCGCAACTGGGTGTTTGCACTTGTTCATGTGGCCACCATCTGGTCATATACCAACGGATTCGTGGGTTGTTACAAGTGCACATGATTGTGTACTCACTCACTCACTACATGATGGTTGTTTGTTGATAATCGATTCTGAACTAAACAATCCAGCGATTAATAGTGTGAACAACGAGCCTTACTGTCGGGGTAGGGTGACACGCAGTCATCGAACCTGCCCACCTTGGTGCCGTTGTACAAAGCGATCTTAGCGCTAGGGTGTTCGTAACTCCCATACCTTAACATAGACTTGCCGTAGTATTAAGCTTGTTTTGTATAACAGCACCCTGATCCGGCTGGACCGTTCACAAAGGGATGTCAGGATAACTCAAATATTTAACATGTATTTAACATAGCACTATAATCATCTCATTTAACAAGCCGAGCATGGCTGCTGGGGAACTTCTGACCTTGAACTCCCACGTACACGTAAACGAAGTCGTATGAACGAAAAAACGCATACACGCTAGTGTACACTGACGCACGTATTTTTCAACTCAGAGCATCAGTTTGAATAATTCATAGTTTCCATGCTGTTACTTAAATAATGACCACAGGATTGTCTGGTCCAGACATGATTATTTACAGACCGCCGCCATATAGCTGGAATTTTGCTGAGTGCGGCGTTAAACTCATCCTCGATAATCTCCAGGGAAAACGTTCCGATAAATCTCCACTATACCCTGGATGCATCTACGGCTCGAGCCGATGATTTTATTACCCCCCTTTGCTGGCTCCGCATTCTCACAGTAGCCAATCAGATAAGCCGCGGTTACAACCGAGCATGCCACTATCAACAAAGATAGCGGTCGCAGTCGCGAAAGTTGGTTCGGAGTGCGACTCAGATTTTGGGGAAAAACATACAGACAAATTGACAGGTCTGAAATCTTGAAAAATATATGCAAGAACTCCTTCTACCTCTTTCAGAGTACTTCTGCAACAATATATTATTGTGTTGCCAAGTTTAATCGGTTAGATAATTTAAAAAGCGAAAGTGAGTTGTGATTGGTACGCTCAACTTCCCAGCGTAGACACCTGATTGGATAAAAAGCCAACCAAGGGAGGTAATAAAATCATCGGCTCGAGCCTTAGATCATCCAGGGTAAAGTGGAGATTTATCGGAACGTATACCCTGGAGATTATCGAGGATGCGTTAAACTAAACTCACTCACTTAAATAACGCATCACTCAGATTCCAAACACAAACTTACGTACACAACCGTAAGTCGGGACATACGCACACGCATGCACTAATCTGCATGCACACACACACATAGTCGGATACCATCATTGATATTAAGACGCTCATGCATGCACATTCACTTTTATGCGCTCACCTGCACGATTGCATTGACAGGCATGCATATACACACGTTATTGGTTGCGTCAATGAAAGGCACATCACGCATGCAGGTTTCAAAATGATAATCATATAGTCTTAATTAGTAGGTCTCATGAGAAAGTACGACGACTTTATTGCTTGTCGTGGCGGTACAATTAAAGAAGGTAATGCGGTGACGATAGGCCGACCTTGTATGGAAGTTGTCGGTGTAACAATAAACAGAGTCGTGTTGCGCATACCTGGAATGCATAGATGAACATCAATGTCTGTGTGCGTAGCTCCTAATATGCACACTACCTACAGCTGGTGGTCCAGTCACACCCGACCTAATTATACACAGGGGTTTGCATAGCTTCACAGAGCAACAGAGCATGCCCAGAGCATCGGAAAATGTCTATGTTTCATTTGAAACTTAGCTAACGTCGGGTGAGTGTTTGTTCTTTACTACAGTAAGCTGCATATTACGCCTGGGTTTAGCTGGCATGTGACCTGATGTATGAGTGAGTGAGTGAGTGAGTGAGTGAGTGAGTGAGTGAGTGAGTGAGTGAGTGAGTGAGTGAGTGAGTGAGTGAGTGAGTGAGTGAGTGAGTGAGTGAGTGAGTGAGTGAGTGAGTGAGTGAGTGAGTGAGTGAGTGAGTGAGGTTTTATTCAACATTTCAGCAACATCTCGGTTTGGGACACCAGAACTGGGTTTCACACATTGTACACATTTGAGGAATAAGAAACCCGGGTCTTTGACATCGCGAGTGATAGTTTTAACCACTAGGCTAGCCAAATGCCCCGTGATGTATAAGGGTACATGCGACATGCGAGGGCTGTGGTTCTGTACCGTGCACCCTTGACAGTGGGGGAGCCTTGTTGGTATAGTATAGTCCCCCACAAAACACTCACTCACCCAACACGCACTATAATCAGATTGTGCAGCTGCAACGACATACCCGCCGTTAGAGAGGGAATCATCTCTGGGGTATTGTTCTTGTACCAGTTTATCCCTGCAATCTGCGAATCTGAAGCCGACAAGGCGTGGCTCGACGACAAGACCAGTACGTGAATAACCCTGTCTGAATGCACACTGAAAATACTTTAAGTTATGTCAAGGCATAATGTAGGATTAAGGCCTGACGCGACGCAAGTTTGTACTCAATTCTGTGTAACATCAAACGATCGTAATCAAGCAAAAGGATTTTAGTCTATCAGCATGATTCGAATCACCAGCCAGCAAGTGAGTGAGTGAGTATGGTTTCATCCCGCTTTTAGCAATAGTCGAGCAACATCACGGCGGGGAACACCAGAAATTGCCTTCACACACTGCACCCATGTTTGGAATCGAACCCGGGTCTTCGGCGTGACGAGCGGACGCTTTAACCACTAGGCTACCCAACTGCCCTAGACGCACCAGCAACGTATGCTTGTCGTACAAGGCGAATTAGTGGATCGGGTGGTCGGGTACGATGATTTGGTTGATTGGGTGTCCTCGCAACCCGAGAGTATGGTGTGTTGCTCACCACATCAACCACTGGTTTCTCGGGTTCAGACTCGATCATATACAGGCGCCTCCAGCTAATATTTCTGAGCGTTACACAACAAACAAACATCAATGACAGATTTGATATATATAAACATGTAGCACTTTATTGTATAAAACTTGTCCTTTCGAACACAACGCTAAAACACGAGAGCACACAAGGGTGTTTTCTCGTAACACTGTCTCCCGAACCTCTAGTTTTGGGGATATTCGCCAGTGATGACAAGAATAAGACTGAAACTCGGAATGCCTGGGGTTCGATCCTAAGGCTGCGTCGATACCAAAAGACGAAATATGTTACTTATTGTTACCCTGGCGCTCAGCTTAAAATTATGAGACAAGGATCCCGTGTGAGCCAGCACACTATGACCGACTGACTGACTGAGTTTGGTTTTACGCCGCTTTGAGCAATTTTCCAGCAACATCACGGCGGGGACACCAGAAATGGGCTTCACACATTGTGCCCATGTGGGGATTCGAACCCGGGCCTTCGGCGTGACGAGCCAACGCTTTAACCATTAGGCTACCCCACCGCCCCAACACACTATGAGTAACGTGTCCATGTTAAACGTTATGGTATCTCAGTGCTTTAGCGTCTTAAAATAGGTTTAAGTCCTAAATATTACAAGTACGTGCATGCATGGTTATGTGTCAACAACTTGGTTGACAAACGTCATCGTATCCGAATTGCGTAGATCGATGCTCATGGTGTTGATCACTGGGTTGTCTGGTCGACGCTCGAATATGTACAGACCGCCGCCATATAGCTGGAATATTGTTGAGTACGGCGTAAAACAACCAACCAACCAACAACTATGTTAGCAAAATAATGTTGAACGCGATCTTAGATAAAATAAATATTGACATACACGTAACTTCAGAAATAAATCATAAAAGAGAAGGGCAATGTATATTAAGGACAGACTTTGAGAGTGAGTCTTCACGAAGACTGCTTATCTTAGTAAGCCTGTGATCCCTATAGATACAAGCGGTTGTGCGCGGGCGGCGTGGGAGTATTTGAATCCCTTAAACCTGAATAAAGATAACATATTGTCACATTGTATCAGTCTCATTAAATCTCTCAACACCAACTAGAGTTTATAACGACATGCATCTCAGCACTCATGTTTCTTCCAGCACATCCCGCTTATGTTCCACCCGCACATCTTGTCAGTAGGGTAAGTTGGAATCAGGTTTTAGGGAGCCTCGTTAAACAAGTCTTCTGCAGAACACTTGCAATGCCAAGCGTCATACCTTGACCTCTGTGGTAGGACACGTGCGGTGGAGAACACGTGGGCAAAGTGTTGACACAAAGGGTCAGAGTTCAGGACTTTGTCCTCCAGGCGCAGGGTACAAGAAGGATGAGCGATGATGACGTCAGGGATATGGCCGACATGACGAAGGGCCACTTGTAGGAATGGGTGGAGTCGAAAATCCAGCCTGAAGGAGACGGGTATACAATAAACAGTATGCTATAATCCGCAGAATATCATAAATATTGAAGGGACCATTCATAAATTATGGCTAGGGAGTGATGATGATTTTTATGGAGTAGCATGTACAATGTGAATGACCCCCACTAAAATTTATGTACAAAGTAAGTGACCCCCCTTCCTGCATGTCATGTACAAAATCAATTACCCCCCCCCTTCCTATAATTTTTAAACATATTTATGTGTACAAAATTGCTGACCCCTACCACATTTGTACACAATTGCTGCCCCACTACCTCCCTAGAACAAAATGGGTGACCCTTAAAATCATCACCCCCACCCCCACCCCATAAATTATGAACGGTCCCTAATGAACACTGACCTTCAGTAATGAAAACCTAATACAAATATTTCTACATGTTATTATCAACATACATGGACAATTTAAATGCGGTAACAGGTTAATAGCCTGTTCTAACTAACCCGGTAATATGATCCTGACTGACTGATCTAACCCCCAGGTAACATGATCTGACTGATCTAACCCGGTAACATGGTCCTGATCTATGATCCTGACTGACTGGTAACATGATCCTGACTGACTGATCTAACCCAGGTAACATGATCTGACTGACTGATCTAACCAGGTAACATGATCCTGACTGACTGATCTAACATGGTGACTAACCCCGGTAACATGATCCTGACTGACTGATCTAACCCCGGTAACTGATGATCCTGACTGACTGATCTAACCCATGATCTGACTGGTAACATGATCCTGACTGACTGATCTAACCCGGTAACATGATCCTGACTGATCTAACCCCGGTAACTATGATCCAGGTAACATGATCCTGACTGACTAACATGAGGTAACATGATGACTGACTGATCTAACCCCGGTAACATGATCCTGACTGACTGATCTAACCCCGGTAACATGATCCTGACTGACTGATCTAACCCCGGTAACATGATCCTGACTGACTGATCTAACCCCGGTAACATGATCCTGACTGACTGACTGATCTAACTGACCGGTAACGGTCCTGAACATCCTGACAGACTGATCTCAGGTAACTGATCTGACTGACTGATCTAACCCCGGTAATATGATCCTGACTGATCTGACTGACTGATCTAACCCCGGTAACATGGTCCTGACTGACTGATCTAACCCCGGTAACATGATCCTGACTCACTGATCTAACCCCGGTAACATGATCCTGACTGACTGATCTAACCCAGGTAACATGATCCTGACTGACTGATCTAACCCCGGTAACATGATCCTGACTGACTGATCTAACCAGGTAACATGGTCCTGACTGACTGATCTAACCCCGGTAACTTGGTCCTGACTGACTGATCTAACCAACACATTATATGTATGGAGTAGCTGAAACGGCAACTAATGTTTTTACAGTGTCTTGTTTAGAAAAGATGGTCGGGTAGTCAAGTGGTTAAAGCATTTCTCAGTTAGGGTAGCGTTCGATCCCCTGCAAGGTTATAATGTGTGTAACACATTTCTGCTGTCCCAGTTCCCTCAAGTTGTAAAATCAATAAAACGGCAGTTGAAAGCATTTACTGAAAAATCTTCCCGTCAAAGTCTGAATCTCATGCACACATGAATGGTATAGGGCATATTTTACCGACGCTTCAAACAGTACCACGTGAGCAAATATTTCAGTATCTTTGAGCATAGTTCTGGAGGAAACCTCATCGACGCTCTGTGTAGACATTGATCTGTTTGATAGCAGCCATGATGGCACAGACAGACAAGGAGGTTGGACAAGATCAGTCTTGACCTTGAGCACAGGTAGCGGATCACTAGCGTACGACTGAGGTAATTCACTTTGCTGTCTGAAGTTATCCCCTTTGAAAAGTTTAGGATACGCTGACATTGCTTCGCCCAATTATAAACTGTGGTCTGTCAGCACCATATCGTGTTTGCATATTTAATGAAAGTTTTTAATTTTTACCATCTGCCGCATGTTTGCTTGGAGAACATTTACACTGACACAACCTGGAGGGGAGTGTGAACCTAACAGACACTCAAATCTAGGACACTCGATTCTGTTTTAATCTTACGTCATCATGAGAATACTGCTGACGCGACTAATTAATAACTCACAAAATATGAAACCACAACAAAAGAGTATAACCATAGTACAAGAGTATGTTCCAACGAAGATTCAATTTGGCGAAAATGTAAAATAGCTTTGAAAATGAAAAGAAAGGGTCTCTAAAAATCAGTGGTAACACAGAAACAACAGTTGAATAAATAACTGAGATACTGAAGATTTAAACAGTGGACAATAAACGTCAATTCACATGGCTGGTGTGCAACCATGAAAAAGGTATATTACTGTTACTACTTACCCGCTACAGGTGCTCCAACAAGATAGCCTACAGCAGTCACAAGGCTATAGACACCAAGGGCCAGGGCGAAGTTGTCTTCTCCTGCCAGACGGATCATCATGGCTGGCAACACAGCACCTCCTCTGCTTGCATAGCATATACTGAACAACACTACATAGCCGTACAGCACCACGAGGGAAATGTCAATGAGAAATACGAACGTCAACAAACCGGCCAAAATCCCAAAACCAATGTAAAGAAAAGCTGGGTTGACTCTGTTGTTGGTAGCCAGAAAGCCGTGGATCAGTTTCCCAATGGCTGCTGATACACCAAAGGCTGTAGGACATAGAGGCTGCGAAGTTATCAGTGTGGTAGTAGTCAAGGATGTGGGCTGAGAGGTGGCCTGTTAGAATGCTTCCTCCGAACAGTGATATAATACCACTTAATACAAACATGTAGTATCCTTGGCTATTCTCTAGAGATCCATGCAACCGTTTGTACCACTTCTTCTTTCGAGAAGAGGGATGTTTTATGACTTCTATTTCCATGACACTGCTCCTTCTTCGTGACTTATCTTTGGCGATTTTTTTTAAATGTCCTGTTTGACGCAGCAATAACATTATTTTGGTGATTTGTATCGGTGCCAACATGATAATCGTGTGTGGAAGTTTCGTCTATGTCTTCAAATGCTACGTTGTATACGCCTACATCGTTACCGTTAGGCTCGAACTTTGTTTTGATGATCTGAATAGTGTCGTAGTTCCTGACATCGTCCTCAGTGTTATTCTTTCCAGCATCAAACGTTACATGTGTATAGTTTTCAGGTGTGTTATCTTCATCTGTGCTTTTTTCAGGTGTGTTATCTTCATCTGTACTTTTTCCAGGTGTGTTATCTTCATCTGTGTTTTTTCCAGGTGTGTTATCTTCATCTGTAGTCATTTCAGGTTTGTCATCTTCACCTGTACTCTTACCAGGTGCGTTATCTTTAAGTGGACTCTTTGCAGATTCAGGTGTATCGTCGTCATTGGTATTTTCAGGTTCTTTCTCAACAGAATCCGCTACAGACAGGTCTCCTTGTTCAATGGCCTGACTCGCTATATGGGTATTATCATCATAATCAGCTGACAGTTTAATGGACTGAACATCCTGCTTTGTCTGCGAAGCCGCATCACTGGAGCTCTGGTCACTGAAGTCGTCCTGAACCCCGACGTCAACTTCATACACTCTGAGTTCATCACCTGGCTCGTATTCCACAAATCTCTCTGTGACGATGATGTCGGTCAGAATGTCGCTAATAACGTCCACGTCATCATCCGGGGACGCTTCCTCTCGACCTGGAAACAAGTAGGCTGTGACAACGATGTTGAGGTAGAGAGCTGCCATCACTTGGAACATCCCCCTCCAGTACAGCGTGTCAATGAGGTACTGCAACAGCGGAGGATAAACCACAATGCCCATGCTACTGATGAAACCTCCAAAGCCAAACGCCAGGTTCCTGTGTGTAGTAAAGCTGACCTTCAGGGCTTCGAAAGATCCGATGTAAGTAAGGCCTGATCCGATACCTGAAGGACGAGACGGTATAGTTACGTCTTTGTCCATGCCAAACTGGGATTAAGAATGAATATGAACGGTGTAATTTGGCATTTAATATTGTTTAAACCTTCTTGTGAAGAAACATTTGTCTTACGAAACTATTCTTCATGGTGACATAGAGGAATGGGGTTGTTTGTTGTTTTACGCCGCACTCAGCAATATTCCAGCTACATGGCGGCGGTCTGTAAATAATCGAGTCTGGACCAGACAATCCGGTGATAAACAGCATGAACATCGATCTACGCAATTACGATGGCATGTGTCAACCAAACCAGCGAGACTGGCCACCAAATCCCGTTCATCATCTTACGACAAACATGGGTTGCTGAAGACCAATTTTAACCCGGATCTTCACGGGTTTTGGAGTAGTAAGGAAGGATAATAATATATGGATGAACACTACATCGCTCTTTGTGCAAGGACATGTTTCATCCATTTGGACAGTTGTACAAAGATTAATATCAGATGGACAAAAAGATTAATATCAGATACATAGAGGATACTAAACGACCTTCCGTGTAATACCATTTTTATAAAATGAGATAATGATTTGGTTTCAAACGAACGAAAGCGAGTTTGATACTAAATCATTCACGAGTTTAATAGAAATGGTATTTCACGGAAGCGAGTTTAGTATTCTGTTTATTACTCTCCAACATAAATTGATAGAAACTGCGTGTGATGACTTGAGTCATCTTTCTTTCCTCGAGTCAAGTAAGGTCTAATGCCATTGTGACAGAGGTATTAGCATTGTGACGTCATAACTGTAACCATTATGATGTCATATGTTTAGCGGTATTACACTAGTGTTATACTGCTGTAAAAATATTACACTGCAGCATCTTACACGGGCGAGTAATAAATGTATATATTCTCTATCGCGTCATAATCGCATTTTCCTCAAACATGTTTTCCATATGACAACATATGATGTACTTCCACATATAATATTTTCAGACTAAAACACTGAAAACGTGTTAATGTAAATAATATATAGTATGACCAGAAATTATTGAGAATTTTAGGAATATGTTTAATTGGATTTCTAGTATAAACAACCTTGACCAGCTATCAAGCGCTTGGTTTCATTCAAGAGAGACAACTCCGTTAATCCCTTTTCATTAGTTTGTGAAGAGTTATCCCCCTTTGTTTACTTGCTAGCAGACGACATTTTCAGTGATCCTCAGTATGGATGATTTAGAGAAGAGGAAGTTGATTTTAGAGTATATAACAAGGACATCAGATCAGCTAAAGTGATTTCAAGTAGAACAGGCATCCCTTTGTCCACTGTTTATCGTGTTTGGAAAAATACTGCAAATGGATATGGCATTGAGCACCAGGGAGGCACAGGTAGGCCCAGAAAATTGACTGTCGGAGGCGGCTTGGTATTCTTGTTTCTAAAAACAAACTAACGAGTTTAGAAAACTTAAGGCTGGATATGAGGCTGTCTGTAAGGAGACAATTAGAACTGAGCTGCATGCAATGGGTTGGCAGAAAAGTCGAGGAATTCCATCACCTATCATGAAACCTGAACAAAAGGAGCGAAGGTTGAACTGGTGCTTACAGCATAGAAATTTCAACTGGGACAATGTGATTTTCTCAGATGAAAGTTCTGTGTGGCTGTTCTAATACACTGAAATTCTGGACCATACAAACCAACAAAACCTTTGTATCAGCGCCCAAAGTACAGTCCGAAATTTAACGTGTGGGGTGGCATATCTGTGTTAGGGGCAACGCCCCTCTGTGTATTTGAAGGGAATACAAACAGTGAGCGGTACACAGATATTCTCGAGGGACATGTACTTCCATGTGCTCACGTGTTCTATGGACAAAAATTGATTTTCCAGCAGGACAACGACCCAAAACATCGTTCAAAGCATTCACAGGCCTTGTTTCGGACCCAAAATATGACATTATTAGATTGGCCAAGCTATGGCCCTGACCTAAATCCAATAGAAAATGTTTGGGGACTTATGAAGGAAAGTGTCAATAAGAAAAATCTGACAAATATTGCTGAAATGAAAGAAGAGGTGTTCCGATATTGGGACAGCATGGACCACGACTTTCTAACTTCTTTGATCAGTAGTATGCCCCGCCGCATTGAAGCCTACATTGCTGCCTATGGTGACTTGACAAAATACTAACTGTTCACCTGTCTTTGAATCTGGAGTTTTAAAAAAAAAATTAAAATCTTTAAATTCTGAATAATTTCTGGTTGTACTGTATACCGTTTACCTGTGTAAAAACTAATGCAATGATCTATATATTCCACAGCGTGTGTAAGATAGTCTGCCTTCAGGGGAAAATCAAAATATGAGAATAGGCTTTTAAATATTCACTCCAATGTTATGTGTCAATATTGTTCAATGAGAACACTATTACTACTTTTGAAAGAAAGTATAATGTCTGAAATAGGTGTTTCTTTACTTTTTGAAAGAACTTTACATAAGGTCGTAGTATGTTTGTATGCAAGTACTGTGATATATTTTGACGCGTCATATTAAAAAGGCCTTTGAAGATGCTACTAATTCTTAAAAACACTGGAGCTTGGCACTAAAGGGATAGAAAACAGATCTGAATCTGCCTGCAGTAATCTCCTGATCAATACAGGCAACATGATGTATGTCGTTATATTCAAGCCAGTGAGTGAGTGAGTTTAGTTTTTAGCAAGATTCCAGCAATATCACGGCGGGGGATACCAGAAATAGGCTTCACACATTGTCCCCATGTGGGGAATCGAACCCGGGTCTTCGGCGTGACGAGCGAACGCTTTAACCACTAGGCTACCCCGCCGCCCCTTCAAGCCAGTATGTCGATATTTAAAGGAATGGAAGTTGTTCACTTTTGCACGACCCTGTGATGAGAATGAGATATGTTGTAAAACGTGTAGATCTTGTGTACCTACCTGACACGACTCCAAATGTTATGAATACATGGGAGATTTGCGTAGCGAAGCCACTGGTCAGCATGCCCAGGAACATGATGGTTCCTCCCGCCATGGTGGTGATCCTGCTGCCATAGCGCCTCACGAGTATCCCTCCTACAGCACCTAGCAGGTAACAAAGGTCATTCAATTTGTAATCACAGAACACATAATACAGGTGAATCAACCTTTTCCCTATCATGCGTTTACCAAAGACAGACTGTACTAAAATAGTTACACTATACGACGCCATAAGGGGTTCCTACGAATATCTGAAACGCAATCTTAGGATATCATGTCACTGATATCATTTCATATCTCTTCATATTGCGCAAAAAAGGTAAAAAATAACTACGGAGGGTTTTCATTTTAAAATGAAAAATGACACCCCCGTGGCATTTTAATCTGTTAAAATAATTTAAGAACGCATGACTTTGGTCAAACAAATAGATAGCATTCAGTAACGATCAACATTTTCATTATTCATACATTTTGGCCTCAGTACATAAAGAAAGAAAACATGTCTTGGGACTACCCACGGTACAAGGATAGGCATACAATATGTTTTAAAACATGATATGTCTATTTGAAAAATATCTTTTAAAAGTAAAATAAATGGTGTCCATTTACTTGTCTTTCAATAGATACAAAAATTCAATATATTCGTGTTCACTGAGGAGAGCGGACATACGAACCGTATTATGATATAGCATCGGACCTCATTGAGGAGAACAATATTCAATTGAAGCCCTATTATTTTATTACTGTGTGAAAATAGTGGGCAAGTTTGGTCATTCAGTGCTGGAAGAGAAGCGATAAAATCATTTCCATAATCACAGCAACTCGAGTCCATAGTGCCTTGTCAGAAGAATGTTATCTGATCAAATAGTGTTTACAGAATATCATAAACTTATCCTACCCCACACGTGGCTCCATCCAGTCACAGACACATGCAAAAGCAAGTCAATTATTCACTGAAAAAACACGTAAACATATGGTACAAGCGAAAATAGGGAATTTCATCATTAATTAACATACATGTTAGTGCATTAACGAAATATTGCAAGGTTGTGATCCACGAAGTTACGCCAGATGTAAGCTGGAACTCTTGCAGGAGGGCCACATAGAAGATCCCAGATGTGAATTTGAGCCCGCTGATGAACAGCCTAATCCAAGAATTGGCGAGCAGAACGACAACATCATGGACACCCGCCATAACTGTGAGACAAACGACAACTGGGCCGGGTATTTATAACGGATGACAATGACGTGTGAATGTCACATGGGGTTGTCACTATCAGCTGATAGGTTGGAAGCATTCCTGTAAACAACCCAACTGGAGAATGAGAATCCATCAAGGAGTGTTCGCCAAATTTGGGCCTTCAAGGTAGAATACTATACACGACACACGATGTTTGTAGTGTGCCGTCTGCAAGGAAGACAGAGATATGAAGACGTGTCATCACAGGAACAAAGTAGCCCACTCTACTCAGATTCTGACCAACCAACTGTTGTTGACATTTCTCTCACAGTATCAAGGACTCCGACAGTAGGATGCAGACAAGGACACAGTGTTTAACTTATCAGTGTTATATAAGCCACGAAGTGCCCATGCCACGAAGTGACTAAATAACTCTGATTGGCTAACTCATGTAAAATATGTCAACTTCTTTCCTAGGTTGGAGTATACCTATTTAGACGCTATTCATGGACATTAGGAGATTATCACTCAATTACCCTGCACTGTATGTGTCCATCGCTAATCCCATGTTACATCTGTACTGGTAATTAGGCTTCTGTTTTAATGCTCGAATGATTACAATTGTTTTCTTGACTTGTAGTAGAGGCGACATCACCAGTGGACCTATTTCTTCTCAATGATTGTGTTATATGTGATTAACGACTGAGGAACTTAGGACTAATTCTTCGTCCTACATCCCCATAAAAACCTTGTCGACCTGAGCGTTGACCCACCTTGCGTAACCGGCTCACGCAAAACGTGATCACCAGCTGTCATGAACCGTCACTGTAAAATTTGAACAGTTCTCAAATGATATTCCGGCCTTTAGAAATGGTCTTCACA